CTGACGAACTTTCCATCGGCTTTCTAGAGAAAATGCTGGTGGGATGGTTTGGAAGTGGATATCGCTGCTCCAGGAGCGCCTTCGCGTATCGTCAAACTATGGTCCCGTAGGGTGTGGACATTGGAACTGAGTTTGGTGAGTGGCTAATGGATGATCCTTCTGCCTCCATAGGTTGGCCTCATAATTCATTCTCTACAGATTTGATTTCGTCCAATGTCCACCATTATGTGCCATTCGCTCTTTTAGCTGAGAGGTTGGCGACCTATACCTTTCTTTATCGCTCTTTTCAAACGGTTTTCCTGCTTTTGAGACTAGAACTGGATTTATACATACAAAAAAGTTTTAGCTCCATTGCACGCTTTTTTTCATCTCTCGCTTAGCACCACCCGTCATTGTTTGTCCATCCACTATCGTCCCGCTACAATTGTTTGCTAGTTTCTTTAGCTCGATACGCATAGGATCCACGTTTTACGATTTCTCTTGCTAATGCTTTTGTCCCCATCCTTGTTAGCTTTCCTCCGTCATTTTTTCTAGTGCACGCGGCTTTGTGGTGTGCTATTGAGTAGATAAACAAAAATTCAGCACTTCAGGTTCCGAGTCACAGAGTAAGAAAAAACCACTCAAAAACTCTCTATCTGATTATTTTCTTCCAACATCTTATCCGGATCTCCATATATCTAATTATTAAGAGGGACTTCAATATGGGCGGTTACTACGACGAAATTGAAATCGAAGATATGACGTTTGACCCTGTCAAAAAGGTCTATCATTATCCATGTCCCTGCGGCGACCGCTTCGAAATTTCAAAGCAACAATTACGTGACTATGAAGATATAGCTACATGTCCCAGCTGTAGTCTTATTATTAGAGTTATCTATGATCCGGTGAGTTTTTTTTACTTGAAGGTTTTGATCATTCTTGTTGCCTTCCAGAAGTACTCACTTATTTTCCATGACGCTTTCAGCTCGACTTTGAGGATGAGGAAGATGAGGATGAAGATGATGGTGAAGCGGCTGAAAATGATGATGATGAGGAAGCCACTGATGAAGATGATGCGGAGGATTTCAAGTCTGTTGACTCTGGAAACGACGAGAGAGTTGAAGAGGCGTTGAAGAAGCTTGATCTCAACAATGAGGGAAAGCATGAGGACGATGGTGGTGTCCAAGGCATAGGGGTACTGCACAGGGAGAAGCCCGGAATCGTCACAGGTGTACAGGGCTGAAAGAGATCATTGATGGGGGTGGATGGAATATATACGAATAGCTACATATCTGAATGTGGACCTTGTTGTTGATTTTGTTGCCCTTCAGCTGAATGTCCTGGTTGCTCAAGTCAAAGTTCCCCTTGAGCTCATACTGTGCAACCCACAAGTCAAACGTTCAACTCAAAACACTTCCGTTTCAGAGGTCTAATTGGCAAGGATCCAAAAGAAAGAAAAGTACTCTAAAATAATCCTTGACAAGAAAAAAATGAAACAAAAGGTACACACAGAGAAATGAGAAGAAAAACCCGCGGTGCATGGAAAACAGCACAAAGAAGGCGGGGGCGGGGGCGGGCAGTGAGGGAAATAAAAAATAGTGAGGATGGCCGATAGGATTCAACATCACCAGAATCTAATATTCTCAGCGGGCGTGCTATCAGACAACCTCAACATGACTATGTTACTTGTAAGACTCGAAAACTGTGCATAGAATCGTCAGTATGATGATCAACCAAGAAGATGAAAGGACTCACTCCATTGCCAATGAACACCTCAGCCCGACGGGCAATCTCCATATCCACAGCCTGATCAACCTCTCTCTCGTTCCGTAATATGGAAAGATCTCGGCTGGTGATGACGCTCGACCACCTATAATGCTCCACATATTCATCTTCAACGACAGTGGTATTCTGGTAACCTTGGGTCAAAGCAGCCTTCAACTCCCGCACCCATTCCTTCTTCCCATTAGTCAGCACAAACACTTTGTCCAACAAAGGATGATCTCGCTTGGTCATCTCAAGCTTCTCAACCACCTGTTCAACAGAAGGCCAGCAACGTTCCATATATGCCGCATGCTTTCGTCCTCTAGTCAACACACCATCCATATCATCTGGTGGTTTAAATCGATCTTTGAGGAACGAGAACTGGTTCCAACCAGCGAATGGCTCTAATCGATCAGCAAGCCAATGGCAATGTATTCGGAAGTCGCCTCTTCGGAGATGAATAGCAAGGAGACCTCCGATAGTCGTGGATGTGTTGGTGGATGACCCGGGTTGGGAATTGGATTGGTAGTTGAGGGAGGAGAGTGAAGGTGGTGGTGGATGGCGATGTCCGCCAGAAGAGTTTCCGTCGTTTGATTTGGAGGGGAGTTTGGGAGGCGATACAGTGGAATCGGATTTTGAGGATGAGGATGATGAGGATGGAGGTGTAGGTAATGAAGGAGCTGAATAAAATAGAGGAAGATTGCGATAAACTGCCGACTTGACGAGAGTCGACCATGAAAAACGAGTGAGAATAGGAGAGCTTGAAAGACTCGGCCATATAGACAATATTCGGGGGCTAGCAATGAGGCTAGTAGGTTTGTGTCAGTCAACTGAACAAACCCGTCAAGAAAAGTGTACGCACGGAAAGTCGTATATCACTGGCCCAATCACTTCCACGCAAGGATCATTCATATGTAGAAGCTTTTTGGACCAATGCTCCATAATGGTTTTTCCTTGTGAATTCTCATCAATACCCCATCTGGTATGTTCCTCAGCCACATCCAGCACCGTCCGCCGTTCTGGAGGACAGATTTTCTCCCACCACTGTACACTCACTGAACGAGGTGAATGATCCGCTGCTGAGAATTGTCCACCGGCTGTGGGACCAGATATGAATGCACGGAGAGGTATTCGAGATGAACGCCACTGTCGACCATCTAAAACAGCCTTGGAGGATGTTTGTGCATCCCAAATATAGGGTTGAAATACGTAGCCTCGATTTGAGAGATATGCAATGTGCGAAAGGAGCAATCTTTTAATTATGACACTTATCAGATGGAAAAATTACGGGAAGCGAAATAGGTCATGGGACTCACATTTCTTGGAGTTGATTGTTTAGACCGTAACCCCAAGCTTGGTTCGAAAACATGAGGTACCGCCTACCCAAAATAGGAAGAAAACGACAAAACGTCAGCGATGAGTTGATGATCAGCAATTATATGACGAGGAGGTGAAGAGATCCGAGGAGCGGACTTACCCTTTTGGTCCTTCCGGAAATTGAAGGGAGGTGTTGTGCTGGGGAAGATGGTCCTCCTGCTGCCAAAACTCGTTGTAATCCGGTAGCTGAGGAATACCGTACATAAACTCGTCGAGGAGGGATATTCGATAGATGAGATGGAAGATGAGGATGACTGCGGCGAAAATTGTGATTGGAGCGAGAAAGAATACAACTACGAGGGAAGTCCTCTTGCCGCGAACATGATGATACAGAAAAGGTTCAAAGATTGAATGATGTCGATTGCGATGATGTCTATCTGGTGATTGATCGACAGGTTCGTACGCGTTAAGAGTCCGTGAATGGTATAAAGAAGCAAGGTATTTTGAGAGACCCATCGCACAGAAACGACGGTCCAAAAGAAAATCAGACGGAGGTGACCAGTCCGCCGTTTATTTGAGCTGCGGGTGGCCAAAATACAATAGAGCTGCCAACGTGATCAGTGGAGTGTCTGACAGCATCGTAACCAGTGACGTACCGAAGAAAAGAAAACAGACGAAAGACGAAAGACGATGGGGAAGAAGAGAATTGACGGCTGCAGACGATGAAGAAGGCGTCGATTTTTCCCTCCAGGAAGCCGCAGCCGACGACAACAAAAGGTAATACTGGTTACGAACTGGACCGAGGATCGGCCACAACTCGGCTTTCAACCCCCGACAGCCCCGTTATTGTGGCGTTTCAGGGCGATGCAACTCGCTAGTCTTGTACATAAACACTAGTCTTGTACATAAATATGACTCTTAATGTGCTCTTGCATGTGTTATCTATCTCTTGGCCCATTCACCGTCATCGCTCATCACTCATCACTCGATTCGGCCTTTCCCCGAGCCAAATCTTTTATCAACTGCGTATCACTACTTAGCCACAGTGGTTCTTATGAACGACTGACTGTGCAAAAAAATTGCATGCCAAGCAGTTACCGTAGACACTGTGCATCAACGCTTCCGTGTTGTACCTGACGCTAATATACTTCTCGGCTCCAGCTGACCTTTTCAACTATGAAAACGTGTATCAGCAGGGGCATAAAACATGACCTCCTTATCCCAGCAAGAACATTTTATTAGGAGGCATAACCATGTTGGGATATCAGCTCTCATTTTTTGGGGCGCAACGCAATATAGGCGCTGCGTCTAGATTTGGAATCCATGAACCCGCAAGGGTCCCAGCAGGGTAAAGATGTTGTCTCTTCTCTGCTGATCATGGAACGTTCCAACATTCCTTACCGCGCGGAATACCGCAGCGTTTGCACAGCTATCTCCTTGCATGTAGGCGCTTGGTTGGCGCAGACAGGATCGAAACGCACTTCGCGAAGGTGTACGGCATCGTGTTTGTTTCATCGAACTGTTACCAAAGTGTACCAATCCCCACCACGCTGCTCTTTCCTCTATTCTAAGAATATAAATAGGAGTGATCGTACTGCTCCTGGACAATCACAAGCGCTCACCATCCCAATTGCAGTCCTAACAACTGAGAGAACGGTCCTATGAACATACGCAGAGTACGATACCAACGCCAAGTGGCGTATTTCTCCATAATCCCACATTATCATGAGAGAAAAAGAGGCTGTCTGAGATGCCAACGCTCGCTCGGCTCGCTGTGCTGCAATTTGGGGGTTGCGGGGTAACTCTTCCAAATTAGTAAATCGAATGTTCGCTTACACAACTTGCTTGTTTCAGATTTCTACATACATGTTTTACGTCCTCTGCTCCCTTATCCGACGGCAGCATCCGAGTCATATCTTGTAACAAAAAGATTATCCATTAGCCTTTGGCGGGACTCGAACCCGCAACCTTGAGATTGGTGAGTGACCAAAGCAATTGCTTAAAAGTCTCACGCGCTAACCAATTGCGCCACAAAGGCGATGGTTTTCATACCTTTTCGTGCATTGATCTACGTCAAGCGAGCCTAATATGGTCAGGCGCCTTCTGCCCGGATATTAGTATTCATATCCGAAGAAGTCGAGGCGTACAGCGTCCCAATCATCACTTCGCCCAAGTCACGGTTGTGTTTGAGCTCTTGCTTCGATCGAGCCATCGTTCTTCTATACAGCTAACTAGCATCCGTGGCCTCTCGTACCCTCCTCACAAGGACCCTTCATCTGAAATGCAAGGACGACTAGCGGAGTAAGTACATCACCAGTTATGGCAATCATACAAAATCATACACTTTTGGACTGATATAACCCTCATTCTCAATCTCGCACTACTCTTTTACCACCACCTAAAGCCAAACATGATTCCAACCTTCTTTGTCTCTTCCGACCAGATGATAGTTCCAGTGCCAATGTGCAATCGATCGCACTTCTGGATAAAGGTCCTGCTACTAGATCCTCATACAAAGTAACCATGGAGTACGACTATCATCTCGAAGCCACGAACTTACGATTGAAAGTTAGCAGGTGAGGTGGGTATCTTCCACTATTTCTTTAGTTACGCTGCTCTATGACGATCCTTTCAGCTATCATTTTCCCATTATACACCTCACCTCTGACGCAACCCGCGTAGATATAGGTGAAAGGGATACGAAAGCTGAATCAACAATAAGTCTTTCATGCTTTGAAACACGATTTGGTTCTGCTCCTGTGCATCAATGACCCTACAGATGGCACCATCGCATCCTCGAGTTGGGAAGGTCCCATAGGCTATACAGTAATACCTCTATTGGAATTCAAGTTATGCGCGATCTTCAGTATGACAGCTACGTCAAAGCATCGGCTGTCGACTCTCAGCATCCATGGCACAAACCCATTGTTCGTCTGATGGTCAATGCCTACAGGGTCCGTAGGCTCACATAATTACAACGCTCCCCGCTCACAAAATCAAAATCAATGAAAGAACTTTTCTTTGCTACCTACACAGCCCAGCTCGGTAACGCACGTCTTCATACACATCCTCTGTATTTTTATATGGGGCAGATATCAGTACCCCACTTCTCCATCAGCCCAGTACCTTTCTACTTACAATATCAAATATGCCGACCCCCGTTCCGCTCATCATCCTTGGTGTCGTGGCCGTTGCCGCGATTGCCATATCCGCATTCAATATTTTCAGAGAACCAACACCTCCTCCCCGCCGGACTCGTGTTCCTACCCCTGTTCCTCTTCATTCTACGATTCCCGAAGCTGAAGTAGAGGACAACAATAGATATCCAGCTAGCCTTCGTGTGAGAGCAAGAGATGCTGGCAAATCTGCCGAAACGAATGAAAGGGACGCCAAAGTCGCCCGTCAACAAGGGCAGCATTCCGAGGCAAACAGGCTCCAGTTGGAGGCTGAGAGAAACCGAAATCTGAAAGACCAGTACAATAGAATAGCTGCTTATTTGATCTACCAAAGTAAGTGGTATTAACTAAATCACCAAGCCAAAGTTTGGATCCCCTGAACACGCGCCTTTTCCTATTGCAGAGCACAATCCTAGAAATAAACCTGGTTTGATTGACCTGCATGAACTATTTGTCGAAGAGGCACTTGAACGCACAGAAGCGGCCATCAATAGGGCACGTCAGGGGGGGCTCAATTCGCTGAAAATTATCGTCGGGAAGGTGAGTGTTTTACAAGGCTTTTTTTGACAGTAACTGACTTGAATTGGCTTTCTCTTCTGTTTCTATTTTTGTTACTCCTTCAAAAGGGCAATAATTCTAGGAATTCAGTAGCAAAACTGAAGCCAGCAGTTGAGGACTGGTTGAGAGAGTGAGTGTTCAAGTTTTGACAGTGCAATCCAGATCCCGGGCAAAGCTAATCAATTTTACCACAGAAATGGTTATAAGGCGCAACTCCACCCAAAGAATAACGGGATGATTGTTGTTAGCAACTTGAACGCGTAAGAAATTGAGATACCGCTTAGATTTAGTACAAATAAGACGTGATTTGTGTTGACTGAGACTACGAAACAAGGTGCAAAGATCTACGAACAGGATGGCAAGCTAAGTGATCGGTCAAAGGATGCTACATCTCTTTAAAAGCAGAGAAGCATCAATAAAGCAACTCTTGATGACATGGTTCGGGTTGGCAGTAAATTAAATGCTGAAGCCCAGCTTAGACTAAATATCTCCGTTAGCACATCCATTTAATTGATCCCCCTTCTCCATCACCCAACCAAACTACGTTCAAAACCCCCTTCATAGATATTAGCTATGCTTCATCAAGATTAAGCTGCCCACGTCCAGTGGCAGTCTAGAGGCGCTAGTCCACTGTCACAGATATATTACCATGCTTATCCCTTTCGCTCGAGATACCCACGTTTCATAACTTGCATATCCCACTCGGACATTTTTATCAATACCCTAGTGGTGTACTCTACATTGACGCAATTCCTGTACCGCATAACTCAAGTGAAGTTCTCCGTTCATTTTGCGGCGTGGCTCTTTTGAGCATTATGGGTCTCGATTTCCTTCACGTCCCCCTTTTCTACGTCACTTGATTTCCTAGTGGCTGAAGCACCATTGGGCTTTATTTCATCGCCATGAGAAGGATCATCCTCTGCAGATAACGAGCAATTCAGTACATTGAAGCGAAATGTAGTGGATACTCACCTCCTACATGACCAACACCAGCAACTTCGTGCTCGAAGTGTGATCCTCTTTGTTCGCGGCCAATGGCTGTCCAGATTGCGAGTCCAGTAGCGATGATTGCAGTGGAGACACCCATGACAGGTCCGAAGGCTACGCGACACCTGTTAGAATGGTATTT